TTTGGGTATTAATTTTTGATATTTTGAAGAAAATTTTATTAAAATCTATTCTTAACTTTCTTTTAAAGATACCTACATCAATTACTTATTTCATTTCTTTTTATTTGATTCATTTATATCTCTATAAAATAAATAGAAGTCTCTTCTATAAGAGGGTAGCATTAACACTTATTAATTTTTATTATCTCCTTGTGTATTTTCTATATTTTTAAGTTAATTTGCTAAAATATTTTTATTTAATATCCTCTATAATATAATCCTTTATTTCTTCTTTAACTTAATGGTTGTGTTATTAAACAATAACGTACATATTAAAAATTTGTCTTATAAATTATACATGTATCTTACAAATTGGACACGTATATGAGGTCATATAGAACATTGCTATGTAGTACCTAATTAGAAATATATATAGAAATAAAAATAAGGATTTTCTTACTCTAATCAATTATTTTTTTGCTTTTAGTCTAGTTTTAAGAGTCTTTAGTTTTTTAGTCTTTAGCAATAATCATTCTAATTTTTTCTTATATATATATATAATTATATATATATATATATAATTATATATATATATATATAGTTATATATATATATATAGTTATATAGTTATATATATATATATATATATATATATATATAGTTATATTTCTTTGAAAAATATCTCACTTACTAATTTATATTTTTTTAAGTTCTTATCTTTGATAAATTGATACAAAAATATTTATAATATTATATCTTTGTCTTTTTTTAATTAAATATGGATTATCCATTTTTCTTGATAAGACATAAGCATATTAGTAGTTATAGATTATCAACTTTTAAATTAATATGCCTCTTAGAACTTTCTTTATTCTTCAATCTTTTTTTATATTTATTATGAATATTATTAGATTTTTTTATTATATTATTATAGCAAAACTTATTAGAATAAAATAAAAAAAATAACATAAGTAAAAAATTAAATGAAAAAGTAAATGCTAATAATGCATTAATTTAATTTACCACTACAATGAATAATAAGATTAGCAAAAAGTAAAAATATAGATATGATTGGATTTGATTGTTACAGATATATATATATATATATATATATATTTATTTATTTTAATAATTATCTAAATTATATCAATAAATAGAAGTAGATAAAAATAAATAAATTTAATAATATCTTATAGAAAAGCTTCTTTAAAGCTTTGTAGATGTGGTTGTATCTTTATGCTTGTATATGGTAATTGATAGATTAAAAACTTAGCTAACAAGTTGCCTATATATTCCATATGTTGACTACTTGAAGTACAGGTTGAATATGAGGTGCACATAGAAAAAGCTTCTTATCAGGAACACAGAAATACAGACTCGAGATCTAATAAGAAGTCCAAGAAGAACTGGCAAGAACTAGATTAATCAGATGAATACAAGAACAACACTAGAGAGGTGAGTTAGAGCTCCAAGAGATGTGTTGTCAAGACTGAAGAACTCTTCAGCCTCGTTTCCAATATATACTCCTATTTAGGAAGCTTCTTAAGCAACTTCTACCAACTAGGAAGCTTCTAGAAGGTTCCAGAGACTTGCTTCTAGAAGGTTCTAGAAACTTATCTCTAGAAGGTTCTAAGGACTATGTCCCTAACACTTCTTTTATAAGTTAAATATGTGCCTTATAATTTGAATACATATTAGAGGTCTTACAGAACATGACCATATATCTTTTAGTTAAATAGTATATATAAAGGCAATAGCAAGGCATTCTTTACTTTTTAATTTTTTTCTCACTTCTAATCTAGTTTCAAAAGTCTCGAGTTTTTTTAGTCTTTAGCAATATTCATTCTAATTTCTTTTTCAATATGTATTTTTTTTTTCATCTTTTTTTGATACATAGCTCATTTGTTTTTACATATCTTCTTTAAGTTTTCATCTTTGATACTCTTTCAATGTCTAAACCATATTATATTATTCTTCTTATAATAAAATATTTTTTAAGCATTACAAAATTAAAAATTGTCTTGCTTAAAAAGTTTGTTCGTACAAGATCAAAGTTTCAAGAATTTAAAAATTAATTTAAATCTTAAATTCTAAATCCTAAACCCCTAAACTTCTACATTGCTCAAGAGCCTCAATTTATTTTTTTAATTGAAGAATTTGTTAGAAGATATAGAATATCTGTAATAAAAAAAATATAACCTATACATGTAGAAGTCATAGATGGTCATCTATTATCTTTTAGAAATTTAACAATAAATGGTCATAATAGCTTTGTGATATTCAATATAATTAGATCTTCTTCTAATCTAGTCATTTCAGATTTATTTTGGATAAAAAAATATAATCCCTTGATAAATTGGATTTCTTGTAGTCTTAACTTTTTTTAATGTACAATTAAAAGCTTTATTAATCAAGTAAAAAATTATAAATATAAAACAACTAAATTCTTATTGATAAGTAAAAAAACTTTCATGTATGTTGCAAAGGAACTATTATCTTATATTATATATGCTATATCCATTTCTAATAGTAAAAAGACTTCATGTAATATTTTAAACCAACATGAAGATTATTAAAAAAAAATTGAAAAAACAATATGCAAATATTCTTCTAGAGCATCCTTCTTATGATTATTTAATTAACCTTCAAGAAAGAGCTCAACTCCCATTTGGATTAATCTATAAAATTATCACAAAATAAATTAGGTGAAATAAACAACTTCATTGATAGAAACTTAGCTAAGAATTTTGTATGCCATTTAAACTCACTAAAAGAAGCATCTTTCTTATTTGTAATGAAAAAAGATGGATCACTACAAATGTGTATAGATTATCAAAAGACTCAATAAGATTACTATTAATTGAATCTTTTATCTTTGATATTTAGACTTTATAATTAATTGAATCAAGTCAATTATTATGAAAAATAAATCTTTAAAGAATATATAACTTGGTATACAATAAAATAGTAGATGAATGAAAGATTATATTTCAAATCAAGTATGGATATTTTAAATATGATATCATGCCATTTAGACTCACATGATCAATTTTTTTTTAATTTTTAGTAAATGATGTCTTTTAAGAATTTTTAGATGATTTTTCATCAATTATTTAGATAATAGTTTAATCTATTCTAAGAACACAAAAAAACATGAACTTTATATTTGTCATGTATTACACAAACTTAAAGATGCAAGATTATACATTAAGATAGAAAAGTGTATATTATTTAAGTTGACTTTCTACAATACATTATTTCAAACAATGGTCATATGATGGATCCTAAGAATACTTAGATTATCATAGATTAAAAGATTTCAAGAAAAATAAAAATTATTTAATATTTTTTAAAATTTATCAATTAATATTTGATTATTATTTTTAAAAAAAATACAAAGTAGGTACACAAACTTATTACACAAACAATAGATTAAGGTCATAGAGTAAAAAAATAGGTAAATAGTTGTAAATCGAATTCTATAGAATTTTTTATATTAAAAGATGAAAACTTAAAGTAATATTGAAAATTTCAATATTTTTTCTAAATTTTAAAATTATATTTAAATGCTTTAAGAATTAAAAGTATTTTTGAGGATAATTTTAGGTTTGATATTTGAAAAAAAAAATAGATTCTTCTTTTAAATTAAAAAAATAATAATTTTAGGTTTAATATAAGAAAGGTGAGGGAGACAAGAGAAATATTAGGATTTTTTCCCCAAAAAAGAAAAGGGAGATAATAATAAAAAAAAAAAAAAAAAAAAAAAAAAAAAAAGGCCATGATTGTAACTATGATAAAAAAATATGGTAACTATGATGAAAATTGACCAACCATTTTTTTATTGGTTGGGTGGATTGATTTAGTAAATACATGCATTCTTTGTATGTATACATATATATATATATATAGAGAGAGAGAGAGAGAGAGGGAGAGAGAGAGAGAGAATTTAAGAGCTACAACTCTAACAAAAAGATTATGAGATATAGAACAAATTAGTTGAGATAGTAAATAGTTTGTTACTATTTATAGAATATGATTTATTTATTTACTTTTATTAACGATAATGTGCTCGTTCAGAAATATAGGTTTCAGAAAGAAAGTTATGAAATGAAATACACGTTTTTTTGAAAGCGCAACCACATGATTTTTTCGTGCCGTTAGATCACAATCCTGTAGGTGCTCATGCTATTCTTCCGACTGCAATAGAATTTAATTGTCTAAAACTTGGTGCAGCTAGTGGGAAGTTGGTTCTCTCCTAGGATTGTCTCCAGTGGCCTTTGCCATGCTGTGAGAGAGTTCACTAAGACAACTAACTACACATGAATCCGCATAATTGCATCATTGCAGTGATTTACTGTGCAACTGAAAGCTTGCAAATCACACAGCCTCTGAATTTTATTGATTGTATGTCATAAGCGTTCAATAAAGCATAAACCAAAACAATTAGACTAAGTAACGTGTTTGGTGAGGAATTTCAATCCACATCAAGCAAAAAAATATATATCGCTTTGAGAACCCATCAAAAACTCACTCAATAGTAATTGTTGACAACGGTAGGCCTAGTATAAAACATGACTGGAGCTCATGATGCTCGGGTTAATTGAGGAACAAACAACAGAAGTACACACGAAAAATCACATAAAGTTTGACGGGACGTGAAGTTCATTTTTCAATTCATTGCGGAAAATCCTGGAATGCATGAAATGCATGTATCTAGGAAAATTACCCACAATCTACATAAGCACGAGGCTCCTACTTAATATTCACAATATGTTGGATCCCCTGGAAAATAGTAAACGGGACTAAAGATCTTGATTTGAAACTTGTACTAGAGCAAGACTTCTAAAACCTGCTAATCACAACGCAACGACTGAGTATGCTACTGTTCATATTTGCCCCAGTTACGCCTCCAGTTAACCTTCAGAAGATATACCCTTTGTTATCCAAAGATGAGAAAATTTCCGACACGTTTACTCTATTACGCAGATTCATTTCCACATAACTCAAGTAGTACACCTTTGGACTGCGACAAAAGAAAAACAAATTTTATTCGTCTAAATCTAATTACATTTCACTAGCTCAATCTTTCATAACTATTGCTTATCGGACACGAAAGTAACAAATCCTCAAGAGCTAAAACTGAAGTCTTACATGAAAGCTTTTGCAGTCATGGCAGACTAGGGGGTATATGCGGTCTTGCAACGTTCAAAAGACCACATTTCTTTATAACAACGGATTTCAGGGGCTTGTCCCAATTAGCACGAGCACTGGCAGCACGGTCGTCCCCCAGCAGCTGTGCAAAACTATTGAACTGTTGAATTCGATCACTTGGTTTGTATGTAGGCACCGTTGATACCGCAGCCACCACATCCATACCTGAATAATCGATAAATTAGTATATTCAGAGTGTAGAGGAACAGTTGGGAGTAATTCATACCACCCTAACGACGCAATCGCTTTCGATTTCAAGTGATGTGACTGCATAATTTTTCTGGCAGAACGCTCTTTGGAGTCATATGGCTGAGAGTTGCGCCTCATACTCAGTTTCATGAGGAATGCAATTACTATGAAAATGCGGGCGTAGCTTTAAAAAAATAAAATAATCGATCTTTTATCACGTTTATGTAATCTTTTACGAGACAAGAAAAATAGCCCTGGGTCCGCTTTCGAGTTCATTCGATCCTTCCTTAAAAAATAAAATCCATGTAATAAATTGTTCCAAAGTTAGTTATTGAAGTTAGTTAATAAAGTATGAAAGTTCTTCCCTCAAGCATCCTTTTCACCTATATGAATATATCACAATTTCTAGAACTGTTTACTGTATGGTGGTGGTTGAGACCTACCCAGTGCTTTAAGATAGAGAAATTAGAAATTTCAGGGACTAAAAAGCAGAAACTAACCTTCAAGTACAGTACCAAAAACGATGTTCCCGTTGTCCAGCTGAGGGGCAGGTCCGGGGCCTGACACCCGAAACTAAGCCATAAGCAGGAGTTGCAGGATATGCGGGAGTTCACAGCAATTGAAATGTGACCCGTTCACAAAGTGCTATCATTAACAAACAGAAGTATTTATACCTGTAGTTATTAAAAACTCCACGTTCCGGTAGTCTGTATTAAGTTTGATCGCTTCTTCGTCGTCATTTTCTGATAGGCAAAGGGAGACCGTGCCAGGTCTCAGATGCCTTAATTTGAAAGAACTACCACGAACGACCTCCTCATTTCGTTCTAACTTAGTTGGAGGTGACGTTTCTCCTTTGTCCTTTGCACCTTGTCGGCCTCCTTGAATGTACTGGCCTTGTAAAACTCGATTGAAAATGGTTCCTTCATACGAAGAACCCGCCTCTCCTGTACACATGGCTTTGAAGTTCTTCACTGTCTGCGGTACCTGAGACACAGTGAAGATATTTCAGCAGTAGTCCAGGCTTATGGTGCGTGCAGCTCACTCATTATCTTTATTTAATTACATAGGCATCCGTCTTGAGCCGTCCTCAAGAAACACAAGGAATTCAAAGCTTATTTTTGCGTGTAGGCGAAGTCCGAAATTAGCATACCAAACTATATCTACAAACGCAATGCAGATACCTGATTCTACTCCAGGACATAGAAAATAGATAATCGCCAAAGAGGAACGAAAGAATAAAATGCATTAGCATTGGTGGAGTTAAGCTGCCATTACAAAGATAACAGACCTGCTTACCGTACAAGCCAATGACGATACGCCCCAAGTCTTCACCATCGGTGCAGATCAGCGACGTATTGCCAAGAGTTCGATCGGCCCTCGCTAAGCTAGGACATTCCATAATATCAAGGTAGACACGATCCGTAATTGTTGTGTCAACACCCGATGTGCCAGTCTCCTGCGACCAGAGAAGGAAGCATCAAAAGTTGGGGATAAATTCTTAGCGGACAATAAGATGCAGTAAACTGGCATCCTTCCAAGAAAAATTCCAGAAACAGCCTCTTGCAAGCTTTGATTCAGAAATCATTCCAACTGAAACTAAGAAATCAGAAAGGGGGGAGAAAAATGAATAAATAAAAATCTTATTTCACCCTGTGTCACAAAGATTAATTGTACATCTCTCGTGAAAGTAGCACTACAAAGTATAGCGATTATGCGATGTTCCTCTGACCAATTTCGCAGAATGATGAAGCCTTACTGCTGAGTAGCGTGGGCCTCCACCCCGAAGTCTACCCTCTTATCCTTCATGTGATGTACCATTTCAAAATCTATCATTTCAAAGTATGATTTGCATTGTAGAATCAGAAGCAATTGTGGCACCGCACATGGCTGATTAGCTGCATAGGTTTCACAACTTGTGAAATCTTTCTGTCGATTCCCAAGATAACAGTTGATTCAAGTTTCCACCTGTGATGACCAGATGAATAACGCACTCTTGTCGCCCGCTAATACCAAATTGACTACGGATAGAAGCCTGAGAAGGATCGGGCTAATATAAGATTTAAATAGTGCACGCATTAAGCCCGAAGCGCAAAAGCATGAATGATATAGAACTACCGCCAAAAGAGACGATACCTCATCAGCGTAAGAAGGCAAAGCAGCTGCAGTCACAGCCGCGCCGGACACGAGAAGGAGAAGCTGTCGCCGGCTAGTCAAATGCGACTCGACACTACATGAATCAGAATCATCAGATTCCGGTGTGGAAGCAGAGGAGCAACAGCCACGCGGGTCCGAGTAACGACGGCTGGATTGCACTGCCACACTGCTGCGACAGGACCGAATCCGCAGGGAGCTATCGGAATACACTGCGGAGAATTTCATCGCGCCGTTGCAAGTCGGCATTGCAAAGAGGGCAGGCCGAAAAGCAGGCGGACAGCAGGTGGCGCACCATGCCTCCGCCATAGCCAATTTCTACGTCTCCTTCGCTCTCCTCTCCCTCTGTTCCGCCCCTGACGCTCACTCGCGCATCACTTTGCTCCGAGTATTCGAGTCTAAGTCCGATCCCACTACCACTGCCAGTACAACACCACCAAATCGCAAGCCCACGCGCGGCGATGGAGAACCAACCTAGCTATGGCGATGCAAGGGTCAGAGTTAGAATTCCGTCCTGGGCAGGCAATGGCGTTGCAATGCTTGGAGCCAAGGTGCTCGCCATCCTCGGTTGAGACCCTATTGGTACCCAGGAAGGTTCCCTTATCCTGAGCCCTTCCATCTTTTGATGGGCTCTTCGTTGTAGCTTCCTGGTCTCCATAGACTTTTTAGCTCAAAAGACCAGTGTATCCATGTTTACAGATTACAAAGACACTATTTAGTGCTTGACACTACAGTTAATAATTGCATATGAAACAGGTTCAGAAGCCAAAACACACATTGAGCATGTCAAAGTAAGATACAGTGCTATGATTGTTCTAATGAAAGATAGAACGATGTGCACGTCTTGACATAAATAGAACTCAACAAAACAGTTGACGGCATTCAAAAAGGTCATAGTGTTGCGTCTATTCATACTTCTTGTTGCCGAGGTAAATTCTTCTTTTCCAAGTTTCTGTCATAATAGCTGAAGAGTTTCTGCATAAAGTTAGAAAAACCTCCATCCCAAAATAATAATCATTTTTTTTAAAATAATGCAATATCACTTCTTTTTAGCATTGTAATTTCAAGTAAGAAGTTTTATTAATTATGATTATATTATTTATCAATAAAAATCTTGTCATAGGATAATTATTCAAGCTCTTGAAACAGTCTTTCAAACATAATCTAATAAACACGATTGACTGTGGTACTAACTTGTAATGGTATCACAAAAATTGAAGTACTAAATTCTAGACTACTGGGTCACAATCTTTACAACTCAATTTCTAAGCCTAATAGTACTGGACATTCTTAAAATTACAGCGAGAAGGATGGAATTTATGTTAAACATGTTAAGTGAGAAGTGTTATGGATTATTTCAAGATGAATTTACATGGATAAAAATCAAAATTAATGGCATGTTTAAAGACATGTTTAACGACATGCAGAATTTGAAAACGATGAATGAATAAAAACTTCTTAACATGTAAAAATGTATGCAAATAGGACTAGAGAGGAAACCTAAGAATAAATATTATTTGATTAGATAATGAGTGTTTGGAGTTGGCAAAGAATTAGTGCAAGTTCTAGTTGTAAGAAACAATTATGTCAGTTACATTATAACCTTCACAAACAAAGAAAAGAGAAAGTTTTTTGTCAATTTGAATTTAAATTAATGTTGAATAACGAAGTAATTTCCATAATTAACACTCTTTATGAAAGTAAACTGCACATATACTGTATAAATCCAATAATAAATTATTTTTTTAGGAATAGATTATAAATGTATATTAAGTGAGTACATTTTACTTAGGCGATCATTTGTATTGATTATTATTGCATTTTAGTGGGTTTCTTTTTGTTTCATTTTGTAATTGTTTTTTGTTAGTGGCAATGATGATGCATTTATATATATATTACTATCTTCTTTATAAAATTTTAGATAATTGGAAAAAATAATAATGTGAATTTAATTTTTTAGTAAATTTAGTAAGAATTATCTTTATTGAACTTACTTGTGAATCATAATTGATCTGTAATCGTGAGTAGATCCAACTTTTGATAGTTTAAATTTTGACCCAGATATTCTGACCACGTTATAGAGTAAATGTTGTTGAATAAATAAACTACCATGCAAAGATTAAATACATGATGAAAAAGAGCTATGATAATACTTTCGTTATATTGCATTTCATAAATAAATTTAATTAATATGTAAATAAATATACATATACATGTAAATAAATTCAAGAATAATTATCTATATATTTTTTTAAAGAAAAAATATCAAAAATATCAAAAAGACCTAAAAAATTTGTATAAAAAATAAAAATATAAAAAATGAATAAAAACCACACCATGGATATTATTGAAAAAAAAATATTGCAAATAATTTAGGAAGTGGTACGAAGTATGAAAATTTTAAATGAGAATTACCATTTTCTGGAAAAAGCTTATAAAGTATTTGATAACAAGTTACAAAAACATATGATACAAATTTTCATCTTGACATTCTATTTATAATTTTCTAAAAAGTTAGTGGTTGATTGTAATCCAAAACCCACTCCACAAGCATTTCAGGGATGTAATCGAATTATTTTTTAAAAAATGAAAAGCTCATTTTATGGTAAGTTTTGATAGCAATACTAACCCAGGAGTGGATTTGGACAGAAACTAAAAGGAAGGGGATATTTAGCAACTAAGTGCGACAACGGTGACGGGGCACTAAAACGGTGAAAGGTGTGGCAGGACAAGGTGCTGCCGAAGCCGTGGAGGGGATGGAAAGAGGATCTGGCCGCTGAACGGGGAGCCTCAGGGGAAGACCAGATTGGTGGGTCGGTAATGGATAAGATTCGCCACCATTCTCAACCCCCATTTCCTGCGCTTTCCAACTCAGCAACCTAGTCCACCTCAGCAATCTGATGCCACCTAAGATTGTCATTCCATGGCCCCATTTTGGTGGGAGAGGATGGACTGAGGTTTGAATTTCCTGACTCACTCATTTTTCTTTCGGTGTCGTCCGCTAGTGCCCAAACGCTGTGTCTTCAAATAGTATTCGAATAGCTTTTTCCTGTCGCACTCTGGAAACTTGATACAGTTCAAAAGCCTGCGATGGCTTCAGTTTTGCGTAACCCACTCTTTGGAAAATGTTTTGCTCCAAAATCCTCCTAAAAATGAAACGGAAAATCGTGCTTTCATGTATTGCCTGCTCTGGTGGAGTTTTCTGGGGTCGCAATCGCATCCACCCTGAACCCTAATATGCCATATAATGAAATCGATGCAGATTTGGGGTTTGAAATGCAATTGATCTACTTGGGGGCATTGTTATCTCTTCTGGCGACTGGTAGTTCCTCGGTCGTTCGTCAGGTTCTCTTCCGTCGTGAGCTGGAATCTGCTGCAAAGTAGTCGCAGGTATGATTGGTTAAAATTATCAACATCTGCCCTGTAATCAAGGAACCATGATGTGCACATCTTAAAACCATCACAACAGAGACGCTAGTGTGTCCGTAGTTTCTATTTACTGACATTGGCTGTTACTGCTCACCAGTACATAAAACCACTATTTTGCTAGCTCAATAAGTGAAGTAAAGTAGAACGTATTGTTAAGTTTAAAATGGTATAAGAGCAGTGTAGGATTCTCGGAGAGTGAGAACAATAGGAGACCACTATTTATTCAATGGAGTCGAATTAGGAATGCGATGACACATTGAGAGTATTCTTTAAGTCAGATCTAGAACAAAGGGTATCTTGAGGGGCAAGATGTTGGAATCTCTAGCAAACTACAAATCATGGAAGACCACAATGGAGCATGTTTTTGGAAAAGAGGATCTGTGGGACTGAATCGAGTCCACCAACAACAAAGAAAGTGGAGCAATGAGTGGCTCAACTACTAAAGCGTCTGGATCAAGATTCGCGGCAGCAACAAGCATGGGACTCAAGAATCCCACATTAATACGTCAAGAGTTGAATCTTCAGTGAAAGAGGAGGAGAAAAGCCCTCGACATCTTAAAACTCTTACTAACAGAAGGTCTACAAGATTTCATCTCCAAATTACGCGACCCTAAGGCGGCGTGGCTGAAGCTTCAAAAACTATATCAAATCCACACTTTGATTGACGTCATAGTCCTTGGAAACAAATGGTCAACAGCGTGCATGATGAACAATATCGATGTGTCTGCCTTCATGCAGCTGATCTACAGGTTTCTAAGAGAGCTACGAGTAGCGAGCCAACAGATTGACGATGCCACGATAGTTTACAAAATTCTTACCCACTTGCCATCTTGTTTCAATCAATTTGTAAGTGTTGTTTAAAATGAACGAACAATTCCTTCCATCTTTGAACTGTTTAGCAAGTGTACTTAGAAGAAACTAACTTAAAGTTCTGGAAGGACCATTGCAAGAAGAAGCACTGGTTATGAGGATCTGGAATGTAGTTTGCAATGGCCAATTCTCATACCATGGGTGAGGAGCAAACACCAACTTCTAGAGGAGAAATGGTTTCATATCTCGCCTCAACCACACACAACCAGATCAACTCACTTGCAATCGATGCGATGAGCTAGGTCACTTTCCAAGATATGCACTGCTCCAACGCCACTTTCATCAATCTTTCAAAAGCCGTATGGATATTCTACGAGTTATTAGGAGATTGTCCTCTACCATTTGCTGATGAAGGCATTGAAGCAGCTCTTGCTACTCTCTCAGTAGAGACAGCCTCTGATTATGATTGGGTACTTATCTCAAGTGCATCTTGCCACTTTGCTAATAACCCCATCATGTTTTCCACCTGAGATCAGCATAGTTCACAAGGTGTGGTGACATTGGCTTCAAGTAAGACCATGTGATCGAAGGCAAAAGAAGTGTTGAGCAGCCAACACCAAGTGGTGAAAATAAAAACAATCAAAGACATTTGTTATGTCCTAGGCTTCAGTAGAAACTTAGGCAATCTTGTGTTATTTATACATAGTCAATGTATAGTCTTGACATAGCAGAAACCATATAGAACTATTGCAATAGGTAATAGAGACTTGAATTATGGTATGTACAAATTATCATCCTTGGTTAGAAGTCTCAAAGTACACAACATAGTAATTCCAATTTTTTCTCAACAAATATTTTTTTTAGAATCCTTAATGCATCATGAAGCCAACTTTCCTACCTCTAGTCCTTCAGTAGCTCCAATTACCAAAACCAAAATCAGAAGAACAAAATCTAGTAAGGCTTTGGCATGCATGATTGAAACATTTAAATTATGGTAGCCTATCACAAGTGAGTAAATAATTTTTTTATATTCAAGAGCTTCCAATATTAAATGAAATTTGTAAAGTATAAAAATTGAGTAAAAACACTTGAACAATCTTTCAAAAATAAGTAGAACATTGAACCTTAAAAATTATAGAAATCATTTACTCTGATCTACGCAATCTATTGCCTATGCCTTCCATTGGTGGTATTGAGTACTTTCTAACCTTTACAAATGATCATACTTGAAAAACATAGATATATTTCTTGAAATATAAAATGAAATATTTGGAAAAAATTTCATCTTTAAAAATCATGTAAAAAACCATACACATTATTGTATCTTTACT